GATACGTCCTTAACCAATGACAGTTGAAGTTAAGGCGAGTTGTGAACAAATCGATCCTATCCTCTTTAATGCTCATCATTCTTTGTAGTCCTAAACTATCAGATTGATTGATGAAGTAGTTGATGCCACGACAGTGGATCCTCTTAATTTTATGATTGAGTTCTAGATTGGTTCTTTAATGATAACCTGAATAATTGCTTGGTTCTTGATGATCTAATCCCTGAGATATTTTTCATTGATCTAACGTTTTTAATATCATTGTTTACATCGAATTTACTTTATTTGCTTGTTTAAATCGTGACATCTTAAACCAACTTTGATCATTTAGCTGAATTTGTATCTCATAGGATTATAGTGTATTGCTGGTCCCTTTGAACGAACCTACCTATTCTACATCGGATTAGTGATTTTAGGTTTGAAATCTTAAACTGGGAAAAACCAATCTCATCACCGGTAAGATTCACTTATGCAGTCACCGGTGACAAATGCTCACAGCAAGGCCTTCAATATGCAGTCACCGGTGACTTGTCTCTTACCTTAGACAGATTACTAGCTATTGCCATAATCAACTGTGGTTTACCTAGCAATAAATCATGATTTAATTTACATGCAAATTTTGATTTTGATTCTAAGGAAAATTGTAATAATTCTAGTACGTAAATTCTTACAATTTTGTCAGCTTTCATATATATGTGGCCTGGATCACACATTTGGACATATGGCCAACTCGGGTACGTCTAGCCTCGTGTAAGTAAGAATGTTGTTGGCTTCCCCCAACTTCTCTCGGCACCATGTTATGATTGACTAAACGACTATATTATCATCGGATTTGGAAAAAAATTAAAAATCGTTTGCACAATAGAATGTTTTCAACTTTAGAAACTATGTTCAAAGCAATAACATCCAAGACAAAATTCTTGCGAAAAACAACGAAAATAGTTGTCTAATATGATGCAAATTTAGCTTAAAAAACTATCAGAAATCATCTTCAAAATTAAGTTTTATGTGTTAAATTAATGGCGCAGTGTTTTTTTTTTTGATAAAAGGTAATAATCATAAAGGGGTGATCTTACAAAGCAAAATCAAAGGTTTATGATACCTTGCC